GAATCTGCGGTTTTCGCCATAATTCATGAAAATGTTTGCTTTAAAGAAGTCTACTATGTTGGAAGAAATCTGACATGGTCGATTGAGCACGTTAGGTCGTGACTTATCTTTAATGGCTCATATATATATATTGAGTAAATCAAAGCAAAATGTAGTGCTTACAGCCTGCATACAGGATGTGCCTGGAGTTGTAGGTTCCGTCAGAGAATCTGTCGACATCGCAACTTGTGCGCAGCGCAGTTGCATTCTAGTTCTGTATGTATGTGGGGTATAATGACATGATTCAAACGTTTTTGTGTCATTGTTGATCGACGGTATGTCTTTATTCGATTCATGATGCTAAATGATCTTTGTCTCTTGCATCTTTGCACTTTGTACATTGTTGCGTTCTGCGTTTAATGCAGTTTAAATGTGAGTTGCTTAGGAAAGAACATAGTTCTCATCAATCACCTATTTTTATTAGATCTTTTAAGAGCAGTGTTCTCGCACATGTTTTCCGTCTAACAGTCGAGAGAATCACATTTTATTCAGCATGATATTAACAGACTACATTAATTCTTCTCGCCCGTTCTTCATTTTCGATCTTAATTCCATCGTGTATCCTCTCTTCTGAGCTTATCTGTTTTCTAAAGAATGTTTGAATGTTAAATCTTTGTTCTCAAACAGTGGTGGACATCTGAAGGAACATATCAGGTAGTGAGTGAAGCTTTTCAGAATGAATTTCCTGACGACAAAGCGGTGAGGTGAGGTGAGTATACAGCAAAATTCAATTTTTTTATCCAAATGATCTTTCGATCACAGATAAATTACCTAATCCACAAATTTCGACGACAAAGAGTCGCTATAGTAGATATCGATAACGCAGTGGTGAGTCAAAGCAAACTACGACGAGTTTCGACCTGAGGGTGGGTTGTGCAACCATTATATTCAACCAGCGTTACCAGGATCTTCAGATGGATCAAGACAGGAGGTGAGTATTACAATCATGATATCGACATTTCAACTTGTGTAACCAGAATCATCAGATGGCATACGTCTAAATTCTGAAGAATCAAGATAAAGTAACGATGCATTGGTTTGTGTGGATAATCATACTAAGTACAAACAGCGTTATCATTCATCACTCTTCCATCCGTTTTCTGCTGACATCTAACATAACCATCAAAGTTCAACGATGGCTCGGAATGTCAGAGTATCAGTATATTTGTAAATATATGTCAGTGCGCATCGAAAGTCGGTCATTAGAAGTGCAGGTTTCCATGTCGTTTCAGGACGGAGATATGAAAATGCTCACTCGACTTTGGTTACAAAACAAGATATGTCGAATGTTGAATTTGTCAGGTTGTGCTTTTCAAGGATATGGCAAAGATCTTTGGCGTTGTCTTTCAATGAATCAAGAATCAATAGTATTAACTATGAAGAATTTAGAGAACCTCGAGTTCTGATGATTTGGTCAAAAGCTGACCATCCCAGAGAGCGCCTGTTGTGATGCTGATGAATAATTCTGACCACTAATCAATGGTGCAATCAATGATCAAAGTTCAAAAGTGACAATGGAAAACTTGAAATCAGTATTGCTTGCAATAATCGACAGATCTCACAACTGAGCGAGCATCAGAGCGCTTCTTGTGGTTATTTCCTGGAAACTAGAAGAACAACCGACAGTCGACAATCAGACGCAGCCACTCTAAATGTCTACTTTAATTGGGCTTTCACTCTTCGAATGTCGTTCTCAATTGTCACTAGCTGTGGATGCGTTGTTGCAAGTGATCTGCGCCATATTGTTGCTGCTTTGTTATGATATTCTAATGCTGATTGCCAAGTACAAGTTGCTTCATGCACGAGTCCCATATTACGGTATGTGTCGGCGATATGAGGGTGATCGGGTGGAAGATCTTTTACTCTGATTTTCAATGCTTTTTCCATATTCATCAAAGCTAAATCATATTCACCTTTGTCATCTTGTACATTAGCGATATTGTTATATGTTTGGGCGATATAAGGGTGATCGGGTGGAAGAGCTTTTACTCTGATTTTCAATGCTTTTTCATGATTCATCAAAGCTAAATCATATTCACCTTTGTTGCGGTGTACATTACCGAGTCCTACGTAACACTCAGCAATCCCAGAATCGTCCACTGCGAGCTCATTTAACAACCGTTTATAATACTTTTCGGCCTTGTCCAATTCACCCATCTGACCGAACAAATTTCCAAGTGAAATGTGAGTGGTTTCACTCCCCATCTCTTTCTTCATATGGTCAAACACTTGTTTCAGATCATGGTCATCTTCGTTGCATAAATCTAAATCAGCCACCCAGATTTGCTGTTGTTGGTCAAAGTGAACACTTTCAAGCCGAAAGATGGAACCGAGCATAAGCAGAATTTCTTCCTCACCAGGAAAATAACTCAATCGAGAAATATCGGCAAACGGTTTTGCTTTTATTCGACTCTCAACTTTGATTTTGAAGAGAACACATTCATATTGAACTTCACACTGAGCACTTTGAGTAAATTCAAGTGCCTTGTTCCGACTACGAGTTGTGGATAGAAAGGAGTTTATCGAGATGAATTCGCCAATACTTGAACGAATGCGATCAAGTTCATCTTTTGACATCACTTGACCTCGATATAATCGACTGATGTTTGTGTTTGACGATTCTTTGATGAGCTGGTTGTGAATATCGACGATTAGAAATCGAAGCGCGAAGAGAATGTCGATGTTCTGAACTCGAAGCGCTTTGTTCAGCATCTTGTAGAGAAAACAGTCTCGAGTGTACCATCGTAGAGCATCAGACGGTTTGTATGTTTTTAATCATCGACATATTACGTAATCAGTTTGAGCTCGTCGCGAGTCATCTGTCGTCAACTCACTGAAGAATATTTTCCGCTACTCCAAGCAATGCTTTTCGCGAGAGAAGAGTACTTTTCTTTTCGTACAAATTATAAACAGTTTGTTCATAAAAGAATAGGACGAATCCATAATTATTAGAAGAAACGTACAAGAGTGAAATCTGTTTCAAGTGCATTAGAAGTGATTCACTACTTCTGGATACTTGAACGGTAATGGGTTCCGATGAAAGTGTTAGATAGAAATAAAGGTGGTGTCGGTCAGTCGCTTTTGTTTGCCTTCCTTTTGAACAACAGTATCATCTTCTGGGAAGTTATGAGTTTCATATTACCACTTTCATTCTCAAAGAGAGTCGAAAGTTTTACAGATGTCAATGATTTGCTGTGAAATATTTTCCAATGAGCTTTACATTTATTTTATTAGATAACAAATCGAGATCGAACTCATGACGAGTTCGGTAACACTTTCAACACTAGAGAGAGAAGCAGTTTCCTTTCACTTCCAGTTTCTACAGATGCCAGGGACTGATAAACGATCATCCATAAGATGGTGGTTTGTTATTACTATTCATGTTTCCATCGACAAACTTCAGTCAAGAGATAAAAGAAATGCTGCTCTACTCCCTACTAGAGGCGAGCACGTAATATATGCATGATCGCTTTGATGAAATTCACGAATAATCTTAAGGTCTGCATCATTGCCTCGATAGTGTTCATGGCAGATTTGAACAAGTTCATCTTTCGATGTTTGTGAATGTTTCATTCGGAGTAGAACTTCGATAAACAG